AACACGCTTTAAAACAAGCTGACCAGAACTCATCAAAATGTTACGCATACACAATATTATGTATGTGCCCGAGGGTGCTGAGCTGCAATCTCTCTTCTACTTCTAATCCACCCTGCCTAGATCCAAAGTTGTATCTCCCCAAGGAGCAGCTCTTTTATCAAAGCAAACTGCAAGTACCAGTGCTTAACTTTCAGAGCTCTATCCAGCCAAGACTCAGCCTGCAGAGTCCTCTTATCTCTTCCTAACCCTCAGCATGACTCTATCCTTCAAGCTTTCATCTGGTTTGCTCATGCAATTTCCTTTCCCCACTGGATTGCCTCTCCAGTCTGCCTCTCCTACTTGCACAGTGCACTCATTTGTGGATACTGGAGAGAATTCATCAGCAGAACTGAGGGGAGTGATTTCAGGTCCCTGAAGCGTGGGTGTTCAGAGCCAAGACCAGTTAGCATTCTTTCAGTCACTCTAAGTAAGGTATTAGTAATATCCGTATGCCCGCACCCATGAGCAAGAAAGCACCAGACCACAGGCTTCAGCACATCTTTTACTTAAGGTCCCATGTAACCTGCCATGCCCTCTGCACCACCCTTCTCTGAACAAGGGCTCTAGTTATTCATCATGAGCTGTTGCTACTCTAAGTGAATGATCCATACTAGACAGAAAGTGAGGAAGATGTTAGGATAGGGGAAAATGCCTATCTCTATGCAGTTGAGGACAAATGGGCTCCTGTGAAATTAGGCTTATTATAGATTCCATGACGCGGCTGGAGGTGAGCTGCATGTTGATAAAGATTCCTCCTACAAACCTAAGACTTCTGGCTTCTCGGTACCCCACACATCATGGCATGCTTACCCAAAGAGGCCCTTGCACCAGAAAGAGAATTCCTTTCTAGGGACTTCACCTTGCCCCACCCCTGCCCCCTGACCTCCCAGAGAACTGGCTCCTCATGCCACAGTTCTGAGTGCACACAGGCCTTGGGCCCTCTCCCAAGCTTTCTATAGTCTGTACCTGACACTTAACAGAATGGTCGCGCATAGCAGAGCCTCAATAAACACACACTGCTCTGCCTAATTACCTCAGTTTTACATTTCCATCTTAAGAAACAAGCACACACTTGGGTCTAAAAGCTTAATATCTCAATTTAAACAATTATTAAGCTAGGACCCAAGTATTCAACATATTTCTTTCAATGTTCTTCCAGTTTATTGCATGTTATTTAATTTAGGCTGAGGGTATTTATACCCATAACATAACATAAAATGATAATCAACATGAGTATAGCTTTAATTTTGCTTCATTTTACCCAGTTGCTGCAGTCGACAACTTCTCATAAATCAGGCTAAGAAATTTTTTCCAATTATATTTTAATTCATGGGTAATCATTTCTCTCCAGCAGGTGGCAAGTTGAGGGGGGGCAGGAAGCCAGGGAGAAAGAAGGTATGATGAACTATTAAATGATTTTTACTTGAATTTGTACCAACAAGCACTGCAGGCATAGCAGGGACAAAACTGTGTCTGCTAACATAAGCCAGGTGAACAGGATGTGTGATGTTCATGTTGGAAGCAACCAGAGCCACTTCCTCAGCCAACTGCAATTTAGTCTAAAACAGATCACTCCTCACTTGGATTCTCTGATTGCCTCTGCCTAATTCTCCATTTCATCATGAGGCTGTCCTTCTAACTTTTGTTTAGGACTCCTAAACACGACCTTGAGATTGTTCAAATAAATGCACTGTCATTTGGGACTATACCTATGTTCCAAAAATGCATTCCTTTGAATATCATGTCTTGTTCCAATATTTGGAACACACACACTTAGAGAAATTAATTTTAAAAAATCTTTCCCCAAAGGACCCATATGTTTTGCTACAATTTCTTTTTTCTTTTTTTTTTTTGGTACCGGGGATTGAACTTGGGTCTTTGTGCCTGCACGGCAGGCGGCGAAACCACTGAGCTAAATCCCTGGCCCAAAATTTCATTCTTAAATCCATTTGCTAAGTTTTTATTAACCACATTATATGACTGACACTTTAAAATATAGAAATGAATAAAATGAGGTCCCTGACTTCAAACGACTTCCAAGCTAAAAGGAAGCAGAATTCTCACCCAACTGCCAGCTCAGTCCTGTGCTTGATGACCATCGCCCTCTCAGGAAAGGGAACACCTTCTGCCCCTGCTCTTTAAACCCTTGACTCCACCTTGCTCTGTCTCTGTGGCTAAAACCCAGATCCCAGCCACCACTCTCTTTCCCTAGGCCTACACCAATAGCTGTCTGAGCAGCCTCCCGCTTCTATGCTGCTGTCTCCACAGGCCACACACCCCACTTTCTAAACACTCTCCTGACTGAAGCCTTTCCATAGCTTCCCAGACTTCAGTGGCCCACAGGGTGCAGCAGCTGGCCCTGCACTGCCCCAACCCCGCGTCCTCCCACTGTTCTACCTTCCACCCACTCTGACCCACTTTCTACCTCCCATTCTGATGCAGCAACACTTGCCCTGCCCTCTGTCTGGAGCACATCCCTCTCCATTCTCCCCTTTCAGCTTTAAGAACATTGCCTTCACTCCACTCAAGTCTCAGATCAAGTGTCACCTCCTCAAGAAGCCTTCCCTGAACTTTCCATTGAGTACTGACCCCAAGACTTCCTATTTCATTCCACTTTCAGGATTTATTCTTCAATTACTTGCTGATTACTTCTCTCCTCCAATGAGCATGTAAACTGACCTTGCCAGCATCATCCGAAATTATGTCCCAGGCTTAGAACTGTGTCTGTTTCACAGCAGGCTCAGAAAGGATTTGCTGACAGATGAATGTTCCTTACAAAGAGGAATCAAATAAGGATGGCAGCAATGCAGCAGTGTACTGTGCAAAGGGACATTTATTTTTGATCAAGGGGAGGAGTTAGGAAAAGCTTCCAGAGAGGAGACTGCTTTAGGGTTCCTTGGCAGCAAGGCACAAATGTACCCCATGATCTGAACCTTGCAGAGGAAAATTCCCAGAGGCATAGGCGAGTCTAGGTCTGTCTGAGCCTTGAAAACAGTACCTGGAGTGGCCAGAGCACCTGGGGGGATGTGCTCAGAGAAGAACACAGATAGCACAGGATGGAACTTATGGCTGAGACCACAGAAAGTCATCGAAATGTTCTGAGGCTGAAACCAGTGCACTCTGACCTGCTCTTCATAAACACCAAAAAGAGATTATGAACTCAAACAATAAAAAATAGAATCGCTTTTAAGAGGACTGCATATTCTCCTGTATCTGGAGGAGAAAAAAAAGGACTTCAATTCTGTGTATCTGTAAATGTAAAAGAAGGGGGAGCTTGAAGTTACTGACTCTATGTCTCAGGCGAAAGGCTGAGTGAAGATTACTTTTTGGATTTCAAAGCATTAACAGCCACATCACATTTGCAAATGGTTCCAGATTAAACAGAAAAGTGGAAGCTGGATTCAGGATAAGCTGGGTTCCAGGCTGGGAGACAAAGTCAAGCACTTTTCACACTGCAGAACAATTTGATCAGACAGCTTCACACAGGATGAGGTGAAACTGACCCTGGAGATCTGTATTTTACCTTATATTAAACAACAGGACCAAAGGAATGACTTATCTTTAGTCACCACAAAAGGCAGCTGTTAAAACCATGGTAAGGAATCAAGGACCCCATCAAACATGCTTTCTGAAGTACTGATCACTCCATTCCTTCTAGAGGAGTCTCACCTCTCAGGGTTCTTACTGAGCACAACAGTCCTCAACCCCACATAGCAAAATGGAAAGGCTGACTGTAAAGGCAAAAGCAGGCACAAGGGAGAACTGCTTTGCCTGCAGAAGTCACAGTCTTGGAGCTGGACCAACTGGGACCTGGGCTTCAACCTGCAGCCTGTCAACTGTGGAGCCCAGATACAAGGCCCTTCCCAAGGAACGAGCAATTCTCTGCAGGTCCCAGCTTTTCACAACCCAGAGTCCTGGTGGGGCTGAGCTGAGGGAACACTGGGCTCAAAGACTGTGGGAGATGCCTAGTCAGAATGCCCAGGTTGTGCAATGGCCCTGATTAGAGTGAGTCAAGGAATAAAGTGGCCAAAGCAGAGTCACATAGACCTGGACATGCACTACAGCTCCAACCACAACACTGGGAGAATGAATGTGCACACCTTTCCCTCAAAATAAAAGAGAGTAGAGTTGTGGAGAGATCTAGGGAGAAAGGATGCAGGAGTATAGCAAGATACTCAGCACAGCACCCTGCACACAGCAACCACTAAACACGGTAAACATAGCAGCACCAGAAGATCTTGTCTTGCTCTGTTTTAGCCACTTATGTGGCTTTATTATTTTATGTGCAATCCTCTTGGCAAGAAAGACAAAATTAGTCAACCTCACAAAACTGGAAAGGACTCCTCAAGTCCTCTGTCCAGCTCCCTGTTACCAGGCATTTTCCTAATCATTGCCACCTCCTGAAGCCATGGAGGACTTGAGCAGTTAAGGTGACCACTCAAGGTCATCCAGCTACTAAGCTGGTTAAAACACTGTCATTTGTGTCCTCAGCAGTCCCTGTGGTGTTTGTTTGAAAGTAGTTTATTTCAAAGTAGTGAAGACAATTTCCTAGGCAATATGTTGGAGACTCTAAGAATCAAGGCTATCTCTGTTCTTAAAAATAATTTATAAAATGAGATAAAAGTGTATCAGCCAAAGGGATCATGCACCAAGAAATCAAAGTGCCAACTCTAAAATATTAGACAGTTAGGAAAATGATAAGGAAGCTTGTTACAACCATTGCTAATGCTTACTATGTTAAGCAAAAAAAAAAAAATCAAAAAGGTAATCCCATTTATGTTGTGATTTTAACAGTAAAATTATGTAGTATATATACAGCAAGGGCTGGAAAGGAACTAGGAAAATGACTATAGCTGATGTGCTAATGAAGTTGTATTTTTATCCAGTGACTATAACAGAGTTGGCACAATAAACACTATGACAGCAACAATCACAGGGAAAGAGTACAGCTGTTAACTCACCCGGGGTTGTACAACATGACTGCAGACAGGTTCTCACAGGACTTTGAGAGGTCGGTCATGGACAAGCTGAAGGAGGACAGAAGGCCACTCTAAGAGCAGACACAGGGCAGAGCAGTTACCATGGTGGGTAAGAGAAGGCCAGCGCCCTGGACTCTCTGTCTTCAGTTTTCGAGGGACAACAAGACATATGCACTCCCATTCATGCCCAGAGCAATGGGTCTATCTGAGGACAGCAGCTCAGGGACCATCAAGGCCCTGCATGTCTCACAATCAAACCCAGAATGTGAAGCACACAGGGCCTTGGCAGTCTACCACTGGGGAAACTCACCAGGTCCCCAACCCTACAGCAGGGCACATGCAGGTACAGTAGAGGAGGAGCCACAGCATCTTTGAGAGCCCCACTCTCCAGCAGGCAGCAGTCCCTGCCATCAGTGGTGCTCACTCACACCAACTGAGCAACAAAGACAAGGAGGGAGAGGAGGGAGACCAAAATTTAAGGGCTTGACCCACTGGGCTTCCACTGAGACCTCTTGGCAAACAGGTTTTCCTCCCTCTGAAACCAGAAAGGACCCTGCAGGGTGGCTCTATGCTGGGACAGAAAAGCAGCTTCAGTGGCCAGGCCAGCAGCTCTAGAGAATACTGGGGCTTGGAGCTCTGTCCACACTTCTATGTAAGTGCTGTTAACCTGAGGCAGCCTCTGAAGCCGGTTGAGTGGAGAGGCTGAGAAAATGGGTGGTTAGGGTAAAGGCTCCCCACTTTCTGGGCTCAAGTACGTTAGGGGGAGTCTGTCTTCATCTAGTTTCTAAGTTATCCATGACATGGGTGTGACAACAGTAGTTGTGCAGATAAGCAGCAGAATATATCCAGAATGTGAGCATAGTTCCAGCTCATACAAATGTTAGCTGTGGGTTTTACTGACTTTGTCAGTTTGAGGACCAGTCAAGATACCCTAGGCAGATGTCTTCCCCTCTGACATCTTCCCTTCTTTCTCTGGTTCTTGGCCCACCTCCCTCCTTGTATACCTTTTGGATGGCCCCATCCCAACACACTGAGTTGATCCCAATTGTCCTAACTCAGCCCTACTCTGCTTCACATCCCAGTGAAAAATTCAATTTACTGTGGCTGATTTTGCCCTGCTTGCTCTGGGCCCTACTCTCTTGCTCTCCTACTTCATCAGTCAATCACCTGCCAGCAAACTAACTGCCTACATCATGCAGCCCAGACAGCTACCTCTCCAGAGGTCCGTACCCGAGGACACCAGGCTGCTGGAACCACCAGGGCCACCAACATCCCTACTACAGACTGGAAGCTCACTCCTGGAGATGGTAGGCCCTTACCTTCCTCTTCTCCCTGAGCTTGGCAGCTTCCTTTGGGTGATTAAAACGAAACATATTGGTTCTTCCCAAGAGTATCACAGCACCTGAGAACACAAAAGCAGCAATGAATTATGGTATGGTCAGCTGACAATACCAAAGCATGATGGAATTCTACAGTTGACATGAAATTTCCAGTGTATTATAAAATAATAAGGAAAAGCTTTAGTCTCCAAAGTCTGCTTACATAAGCTCAATTTTAAACCTGTGAATACTTTTATTTTTACAGCTGGATGTCATAATACTCATGATAACATAGGTAGAAGTGAAGAATCTAAGCCTTGCAGCCTATTATGAGATTCAAAGCTTAATATACAGGTAATTCAACTTTCGATTGCTTGGAAGGAGAAAGAAACAGTTCTCTAGAGAGATCTAACATCAAGCAAGCATATGGTTACAAATTTAATAAATGTTTAATGCTGATAAAAGTAGAAATCTCAAAGAAAAGTGCATTCAAAAAGGAAACATATGAAATTGGAAGAGTTCAGGTAACTATTACTAACATGACCCTTAGAGTTTCACCAGAAAGAAACTGTCTACAGGCATGGTTTATTTTTCAAGGAAATGCACTAACTAATCTCATCAAAATTCCATTAAAATTTAGATGACCACAGTAGACAATGAAAGGCTCCTTTGGTTTGACTAGACATTTAAGAAAGGCTTCTTATTCAGAAAACAACTGTACAGAAAGCAAAAGAATTCAAGGCAAATACCCAAGGATAACAAAGTCAAGGGCCTGCATGGCAAGGAGGAGTGGGGGGATTTCAGTTTGATTCAGCAAATAAACCTCTTCTCAACTCAAATGTGCCTCAAACTCACACAGGAGCCCTGGAGGGTGGCAAGCTGCCTGTTACCGGAGGTAAGAGAAGCAATGCTGCAGAACTGATCTGTTATCCTATACAGTCCTATCCACCTGATTGGCTGTAACACCTCTGGGAAAATCCCCATGTTCGGTCTTTGCCTAGAAAAACATAGTACAATGACTGATCACGTGTGTACCGCTTTAGTGACAGTGCAAGATGTAACAGCTGGACACAGACTTGTGCAATGAGGAATGTGGCTGGGTCTGGCTAGGTGGCCAGAGGACAGAGATGTGCTCTGTGGGGGAAGGGCATGGAGAGGCTGGGGCTCAGACAGGAGGATGGCCTGCTGTGCCTGGGGCAGGGGAGAGTCAAGTACAGGGTATCCAAATAATAGCAAGGAGTGACACTGAAAAGATGTAACTGAAACAGACAGTGTGGATCAGGACAGCAGTGTAAAGAGTTTTGACCAGAGGTCACAAATTGATGGATAGCAATAAAACTCACCTAGACATGTTTTCCATGTCCCATATAAAATCAGCTGCCAACAGTTAAAAACCTAGTGATTTCACACACAACTCTGGATTTCTCTCTAGTATTTCTCGACAAATGTGAAGATGGAGTATCAGTAGATATCTGCTGCCACTTGGCCCAAGTCCTCAGGCTGCTGATCTCTGCCTTCTGTGGACAAGGCCCATGACTCCTGGCTGACCAGTCATCAGCCTCTTGTCTCAGGGACACCTGCACTGGGACCCTGCAGGTAATATCCTAAACCCAGGCACACATTTCTGAGCTTCGGCCAGGACATCCCTTGCCTACCAGTGTAGTATCTCAAATGTCTCAGAGGATTTTCATATGCAGCGTGGTTAGACCCTAACTAGCCCAGATCATCACCAGAGAGAGCAGTTGAAGTCTGGTTTTAGTGCTTATCATTATCTAGCAGAAAATGGAGCCAATCTGAAAAGCAGAAGATAGATTCAGGAGACCTAGACTATCCATTCACCTATCTGCTTATCACTGTCACGTACAATAGCATTTGTATATTTTCCAAATATGGGAAGGCTCCATTACTATAATTAAGAAAGATGTTTCCAATGCTTTTTACAAGAAAGACTCAGAGCTATGTGCCTCCCTGAAAGTCAAAAGTTAAGCAGCCATGTCTAGGATATATGTATATTTGATGCTCTTAAAGTTATATTAGAGATTAATAAGGCAACTGAATCTCAGGTGTTAATTATATCTTATCCAATTCTTTTTTTTTCTGTTAATCAAATGCCTGGGGGGCTGGGGATTTAGCTCACTGGTTCTGCCGCCTGCCTCGAAAGCACAAGGTTCCAAGTTCGATCCCCAGTACCCAAAAAAAAAAAAAAAAACCCTAACAAATGCCTGGCCATGCAAGTTGAAAATTGCTAAAATATGTTAATAGAAAAAGACTAGTATTTCAGAGATATATTTCAAGTCATATTAAATCACTGAAAATAATCTTGTCACCCATGGTATTTGCTTAAAATACACATTAACACAAACCCTTTAAAGAATTAAAGAAGAAAGCAAAATTATCCATGACAATTCATTATTTTCATCTAAGTAATGTGTGTCAACTGGCTGGCATGTGAAGGGGCTGTATTAAGCAAGGTTTCTATCCCTTTCCTCTACTAGACCTTTCAACCAACAATGAATTTTAAAATTTGCTTCATTTTTACACAATGTTACTGTTCATTCATTTATTCAGCAAAACCTTAATGAATGCTTACTGAACACTAGCCACTGTGAGGACACAGAGTTGAAGGAACCAGACACAGTATGCGGTTTTCTTTGTGAAGCTTAAAGTGAGAATAGGACAGAGGGGTAAATAATCAAATAGTCAGATAGAGTAATCGGATGAACATTGTTATGACTTGTGTCTAGATGCTCCCACAAAGCCTCATGTAGTCATGGGGGAAGCTTGTTTAGAGGTGGCTGGATCTAGAGCGAGTGATGCTGGGATTAAGGGTGTGTAATTACTAAACCCCTCCACTACCTATTGCTTTGGCACCTCCCTAATCCCAGTAGCCTACATACAATTTAAAATGGGCAGAAAGATGCTGTTAAGGTCCCTTCCTTGTTGCTTTGCTACCTTTGGCCAGCCATGAACTGTTTCTGCTCTGTAGTTTCTGTCTTCTATGACACCCTGCTTTAGAACTACCCAATTATAGACTGAAACCTCTACAAACTGTGAGCTAAATAAACTTTTCCTGCTTTACCTTTGGGTGTCACATATTTTGTCTCTGCAAGGAGAAAAGTAACTAAGACAAACACAAAAGCTGCAACTGAAGGAAAGAGCCACACTCTAGGGAAGCATTCCCCAAGGGAAGCAGTGCTTTAGACAAGCTCTGAGGATGAGTGGGGAGAAAGGTACGTGTGAAGGTCCAGTGTCAAGAAAGAGAGATGATGATGACAAGTGATTGGAAGACAGCCATGTGGCCAGAAGAGGAAATAAGGAATCTTATTTCACAAGATAAGGCTTGACAGAAACACCAAATCACCCCAAATCTTTCAGGATATGGTAAAGCATCTTGTGTTTCATCTAGTTGCAATCAGAAAACTCTGCAATAGCACAACATGATTGGTTTCAGAAATATCATTCTCTTGGGCTAGGGATTTAGCTTAACGGTGCCTTGCCTGCCTCACAAGCACAAGGACCTGAGTTCATCCCCAGTACGAGAAAAAAAAAAAATCAGTCTCTCAACTGACTGAAGAATGACGAAAGAGGAGTACAAGTAGAAGCAGAGAGACAATGTAGGGGCTAACACAGCAGTCCAGGTCAAAGAGGATGATGCTTAAGGATAGACAGAAGGATAGGGAAGGAGAAAGCAAACAGGCCCGGAAGCTACTTAAGAGACAAAATCCACTGGATTCAATGATAGCTAGACACAGAGAAGAGAAGGGATGTAAGACATCTCCTGTGTACTGCATTACCAGCTGTGTAACCACACAGACTTGAACACTGGAAAAGTACCAAGATTGGGGTAGGGGAGAAATAATAAGTTTGATTTTAAATGAATTTGAGATGCCTTTAGCAAATAAAGCTAAGGGCCCAAGGCTCTAAGAAAAAACACCTGGGATATCTACTTACCTACCTGATAACTGTGTATGCATGTATGTGTTTATATAAGCACATACATACACGTACAAAGATATTAAAAAAAATATGCTATTTCTTTCTATATATTTCAAAGCTCTAATAGAGCCACAAACATGAGAATATCACCAGAGGAGAGAAGAGAGAGGCAGAAGGGAAGAGGACTTAAGACTAGTCACCTGGAGGAATGCTGGCCTTTAATGCCAAGAAGAAAAGGGAGAACTTGCAGCAAAGGAAATGGAGGAGAGGCATTAGAGAGAGAAGGAAACTCCCAGAAGCCAAGGGAAGAAGAGGCCCAAAATGCATAAGTCTGCTGAGAGATCCTCCAAGATGAAGATATTAGGCCACACTGAGTGTGGCATTGGTGACAGTTTAACTGGAAGTAGCCAGAAGCTAGTACAAAGGGGCTGAGGAGTGAGTGAGAGTTAAGGAAATGTAGATCTACTAAGTGCAACAAGCCCTTTGAGGAGACCATGCATGAAAAAGACAGTGCTGGTAGTAGTCAGGGTGGGGGGTGTACATCCCACCAAATGTTTTGTTTTTCTTAAAACTCATGAGAATGCTTAAACAACAGATGAATGTGCTTAAAAATCAGTAAGCAAGCTGAAGCAGAAAACAGATAACCTAATGAATGAATGAGTGAATAATAAATGTGTGAATGAACGAAACACACAAATGAGAATGGGTGTTGGTGTGAAGTTTCTGAGTGAAACCCAGAGGATGTGTCCTGCCCAGAAATCTTGGCATGGCCAAGGAAAACTCATGGGATAACCTCTCCAGAAATCAGTCTCCTCATCTACTCATCAAACAGGGGAATTTCTAAGGTTCCTTCCAGATTTAAAATTCTTTGTAACTATGAACTGCTTCTTGCTCTGAGGTTAATGTGATTAATTGCAGCAGATGGACTTTTTGTGATACACTTAATTTGTAATTTTGAGAACATGTCTAAACCTCCTTGAAATATATGATGGCTTCTTTGAGATTACTTCAGAGCTTGTTAAGTATCTGAAGAGAGACAAATTCCAGATGGTCTTAAAAGAGAATGCAGGGGAAATGACATTGTAAAAGGGGAGACAAAGCCATTTATTACAAAAAAAGAAAAACTAAAAGCTTCATTTAAATAAAT